AGCTTGTATGCACTGTGCACAGTTTCACAAGAGTGTTTTCGTTAAAGACAGGCGTACTGGAGGTGCTCCTGGACAGCGTTGCAGCCAATCTTCTCACATACACATGAGCATGTTTCTGCCAGCTCGCGGACCTGTTCCAGCCATAGGCATGGAGCAGAGCAGAGTGCAGGCATCAGGCACCTCTTGGGAGGCATCGGGCCTGGGTGGGAGTAATGACCAAGCCTGATGCAGGGAACAAGGGTTAGAAAGCCCTAGAATGGCCAGGTAGGGCCACAGCAGTGAGTCAGGGCCCAGGTGGAAGCAGGCATGGGCATGGCTGTGGGGAGGCTGAAGATGTGCACCAGCAGCACAGCTGAAGGCCCAGGCCTGAGCTGGGATGGGACCATGGTCAGAAGACTGGGACATCCCCAGCTGAGGCTGCACAGGAACACTGTGATGTATTCAGGATCCGGGCAAAGGTACATGGAAGATAATTTTAGCAAAGTAACTTCAAACAGCAAAGGCTTTTGCCACTGTCTTCTTCCTGCTACCTCTTTAAGCTGTTCTTCTGTGGTTTTTTTTGCTTCCAATTTGCTAGCTCATTGTTTCTGGACCCCCTCCTTTTCCTTTCTTTCTTATTACTCGTATTAAAATGTAGAAAGAATTTCATTCCGTGTATGTTCATAAATTCCCATGTAGCCTAAATTACATGCAGTGGTGTTCTACAGTCTGGAAAACATTGCCCATAAGAGGTGAGGTTGCTTCTGCTTTGTCAAGTTAAGTACAAAAATCAAAATGTTTCCCTGCTTGAAAAACAAACCATAGAGTAGTTGACAACTTCCTGGCAGATTTTCAAAGGAATTTCACTTTGTTTCATGTATCATGAACATTTAGTTTAAAAAAATGTTAAACCTCTCTCTGAATTGGCAATTTTAAAATCCAAATGCAAAGTGCCACCTAGTGGTTATTATATGTGTGTGTATGTATATATATACATATATATATATATATATATGCAGCATTTTCAAGTGATAACCCAGTGTTGTACTGTAAGAGGTGAAGAAGTATGTTTATAAGCAAGCTTATTTCTCAGAGACCAAGTGTCAGGTAGAAGGATGATGAATATGCCTATATGGAAACTGCAAAAAATGAGAAACAAAATTTAGGTTATAGTCTTTTAAAATTCCTTTCATTATGAGGTATCTGGAGGTATATCACAAGCATTAAAAACCAAACATTCAAATCAAGTGAATTATATGTTTTCCACTAGGTAAGAATATTAGCATATGACCCTCTGACAATATTTCATGTATCTCAGTGTTGACTGTAAAATGAGACAGCGGTAAAGAGCAGCACTTGCTTGAAGTCCTGCAAATCCCATCTAGGTCTCCGTTTTGAATTTCCAAGATTGGCAGGAAACTAACAGCAGTTTTCAGTCGTGCATGATGAAACTTATGCTGTACTATGAGGGAAAGCTGACATGGAAAAGGCAGGCTTATGGAAGTTTATGGACTTGCTCAACAAGTCCATAACAAAACAGTTTTGGTAAAAAAATGATATATGACTGCAATATTGTTAAAAGTATGTAGTAATTGGAGTGGGAATGGGAAAAGGTGAGCTGAGAACCCAGAAATGTGAGTATTGTTTTGCAGTTACTCTTACAGAATCCTCTAGCAATACAGTGTGCAATAACAGGTACGTTTCAGCTGTTAGCTGTAGACCAGTTTTCAGAATCACACTGTAGTTGTTCAGTGAATATAAATGCTTCTAGGACATCTTAGCAGTTTCCTCAGATTTCCTGTACAATAGTAAATACAGGTATACGTAAATTGAGGCGTGATGCTCATAGAATTCTGATGACAAACACTCAAACTTCTCTCTGATGATTGTTGATGCATTTGAAAGTGTTCTTCTGTAGAAATGCATCTTTTGTGCTATTTCATCTGTTTGATTGAAGGAGTACAAAAAACTATCGTTCTTTTCTCTGCAGTAAATGCCTCTAAAATCCTAAAATACCGAGGAAGATCTGAGGTAAAACATCTATTTCATGCAAATTGTTTGTGACTTGTAATGTTTTGAACATCAAAAATTTGCATACTGTTTTACTTCCTACCAAGCTATCTTCAAGATGTGAAGCAAATTGTGTTGATAGTGATGAGAATTACACTTGGACCACTGTATTTCTGTGTGAGATTTTATGTTAAGCAAAGCTTGAATAAGAGTTTGGGAATTCCGTGATTTGGTTGTTAGGATTTTTGTTTTTGTGTGTGTTACTGATGACACTCCAAGGTCTACACTGTTCAGCTGCCTTTTTAGCAAAAGCTTTTCTTAGTCCATATAGTAGCACGATACTAATTGATAAAGGCTTCTGAGTTGTGTGCAGATTACGATAGCAAATCCACCGTCTTACAGAGTGCTTATTAAACAGAAGAGAAAATCTGTGCAAGTAGTCAGTTTTTATGGATGTGCATGAATGCTCTGATGTCTCATCTCAGCTCTCAATTGTTAGTGAAAATTGGGGTGAAATAAAAAGGTCTGAAGTCACACAAGCTGCTGATTATTACTGTGCAATCCAGAACTTGTTCATGCTGGCTCAGGCAGTACATCTATCCAAGCCAAAAGAATTTCATTTTGCCACTATAGTTATGAGTGATGGCAGATGAAGAAAACAGTTTCTTTGTCTCTATGATTACTTGTATGTGATGTTGTTGATGTTGTTTCTGGCTTTAAATCAATTGGAAAGGAAGCATGACCTGGTTTGGCTGGGGTTTGCATTCTTTTGTTTTGCATAAACCCTAGTGTTAGATCACGGGAGTAAGGCTTAATTTAATCCAGTACTGCAACTCAGGAAGCACCCAAAGATGTTTAAGTTCTGTTGACTTCAAAGGGTATGAAGATATAAACCTTATTTTTTAAATTGTGTATAAAAGGACAAATCAGCATGGCCTCAGAGGTAGCATTACTAATGCTAAAAAAGGCCACAAATATCAGAGGGAGCATAAGATAAACAGGTAAAACACAGGTTAGAAAAAACTCACAAGCCAGTTCTGAAAGAAAAATGTGAACCAACTGTAGGGGTAGATACACTGGAAAGGACAAACTGTGGGATTATCAGGAAAAAGGAGTGATTATGAAGGTCAAGGAGCCTTTACACTCTACATCAGTCGCTAAAAAAACTCATTCAAAAGGTAAGGACTAGAAACCTGGAAAGAGTTGTCAACAGGATCTTCTCATCTGGTTGTAGAATACAGCTGGAAGGAGTGCCACTTTCATAATTCCCAGTCCTAAGTTTCCCTTACCATAAGGTAAAGCTGAAAGAAGTCAGATATATTGATCTAGGAGTTAAGAGTTATTAAATGAACCAGAGTAAATAGTCCCCTTCAAAGTAATTGGAAATCTTGACAAACCAATATTTATCAGCTTTAAGCAAATGAGAGTGGGATTGATTAGAATACAAGTACATACTGTCTAGATTCTGCAACTAAATTAATAACTTCAGACTCTCTTGGGAAGAAATGCATGTTTTGAGAATGAAATTCCTCTGAACATTATTAGGAGTCTGCTTTAGAAATATATGAATTTAAACAAGTGAGCAGTGCATTCTATGGAGATGAGGTCCTTGAAGTCTTAAAGGCCAGTCAAGAATACTTACAGGTCAGATTTGCTCTAAGTACACTGGATGAACCTCTCTTCTCAGACCCACGTACTTCTGGAGGACATCCTGGATACTGAGTGCCACCTTGCAGCCTACTTTGCAAGAAAAAAAAACATGTTGTAAAGATGCCCACAAACAATTTGTAGCAGTGGGTAAATTGTCCATAAGGTAGTACAGAAGATGGGAGATGGAATAATCGGGAAATAACTTCTTTGCCCCTTTCCTACCCTCCCATCAGCTGCCATTAGAGACAAAGTGATATAAAGGGACTTGCCATGGAAAGCATTATAAAACAAAAAAAAGTAGGTTCGTTATTACAAATGAAGTAGGATGTGGTGATGGCGCAGGACGTAGGAGTGGATCTAACTTATGATGGAAATTATTTGAGTTGCTTGACCAGGTTCCATTTTACATTGTCTTACGCACCCTATTAATTGAAATGAGTATGGGAAGGTATGCAATGTAGGGAATATAATAAATTTGCATATCTTTTGGGATTGAAATGTTGATGCAGTATACAAAGCAGTGGAGGGTAAGGCATTACATGTAACATACCCACACAGTAAACTTTGTGAAGTATTCCTCCTAGTAATCTCTTACTTTTGACACTGTCTTTCTGAATTGGAGCTGTGTTCTTCTAAAAGGAATGAAGAAGGACTCAGTCTCCATGAGCAACTGATTCCTCTGGAGAACATTTATGCAGATGTCAGCATGGGCAAAGCCTTAACGAATGCAATCTATCAGTAGCAAGTTGTTACTAGTATTACCATCAAATGTTCCTATGAAGTTTTATGACCTCCTTCCTGAAATCAACATACAGAAGCATTCTTTGTTTGAATCTCCATTACTTAATTTAGGAGAGAAGATTTTGTAAGTCCATACCTATTATTCCAAGAATTCCCCAGTCACGATGTATTTCCATCATATAGGCATTGCTGAGACCAATGAATTACTTAAATATTTCTTTGTGACGTTCAGTTTGCCAATTACTGCACATTAAAAGTTTCATTTAACTGTGATTAAGAGATTCTCAAAATTTTGAACTTGCTCCTAGATTATATTAATACTCAGAAGTTACTTATTACATTCTTTATCATTCCTTAGCGTGACATGGTTTTGATGAGACATTTTGAAAACAAGTATATTGACTGACTTAAAAGAAGCTGATTAATCATTAGACTTTTGTGATTCCCCAAATATTTTCAAAGAAAATATAATCTCTGTGGCTTTCTTTCAAGTTTGATCTGTCTTGAAGTACTAATCCAAAGCTTCCACTGAGTCTTAGATACTTATTAATGAGGTAAAGACAGTGGATGGCTAGTCCCAGGCAGAGCTTTCATGTCTCTTACTGTTGTTTTTCTTTAAGGATGTGTTGGAGTTTGGGATAACATCACCTGTTGGCGTCCTGCAAAAGTTGGAGAGACTGTCACTGTCCCTTGCCCAAAAATATTTAGCCTTTTTTCTGGAAAACCAGGTATTTAATTTCAAAGTGTATTTTTTTCTTATTTCTTTTTAGTGTTTGATAAAATAATGTGTTAAAAATGTTGACTTGGAGCCTAAGGTTTTAGTTTTTTTAAGAGTTGAAATAACAGATTTTCTACAGAGCTGTTCATGATACATCATGGAAGGACCAAATAATTGTCTTTGTGGTCCATCTGGTATTCTTAGTTTAGGTACTAAATGTGCATAAATTCTGATACAGTGCAGCTCATCAAAGCTGTAGATGTTGCTTACTCTTCTGGGCCTGTCTGCATTAATAATTAATGCCGCTGAACCGGACTGACATCTCTAACATCTGCCATCAGATTACATACAGGTTGTTCCTTCTGTGCTTAGGAGAGGTGCTCTGCCTTGCCTTCATGAGAGTTACGAGCCAACATTAACACATAATAGCAAAAAATTACTGCTATTAAAATTTAAGGGAATTATTATGAAACCTTTCATGCTGCTTTTAAATAGAAGCTGAAATGAACTCCTCAGTGTAAGATTCCTAAGACCTGTTCATAGGATCGTAGAATTGCTCATAGAATGACCTTAAAGATCATTGAATCCAACCACTATCAAACCATACTACCTCACCTCTAACAGCCCTCCACTAAATCAAGTCCCTGAGCACCACAGCCAAATGGTTTTTAAACACATCCAGGGATGGGGAGCTTATTCCAATGTTTAACAACCCTTTCTGTAAAGAAGTTTTCCCTGGTATCCAACCCAAACTTGCCCTGGTGCAACTTAAGGCCGTTTCCCCTCGTCCTGTCGCCTGCCACTAGTGAGAAGAGACCAGACAGCTCTCACTGTAAGCACCTTTCAGGTATTCTTTTAACATGTTCCTCTGCTCTGCCTAATCGAAGAATCTTTATCTACTTATAAAGTGAAGGCATTTTAGAATGTATAAGAAGGTTAGAGAGGTTTTGTGGTTTGCAAATCGACCCCTCGTAGTGTATGTACAACTTTCTGCTGAAGACATTGTGCGAAGAAGTAACTGAGGAGCAAGATAAAAATCAGAAAAGTTTTAGTTTGGAATTTATACGAATATGTTTGGTTATTCTTGATTTAAGCTGATCTGTGACACATTTATTTGCCCCTGGGTGATGGAAAGCAGGCATCTTCAAGTTTGTTAAAGACCAGTAATAAACTCCAAACCATAACAATATGTTATTAGAAAGACAAGCATCATGAATATTTAAATTGCTGTAAGAAAGATGAAGGGTAGTTGCTCATGATTTAACATTTTAAGAGTAAATTATAATAATTTTAATGACTTTTGTTTATTCTAACATCAGATTTTCTCAAGCTGTTTCATATTGGATGAATATTAGTGCATATTCGTTAGATCAAGGAGTACTATTATAGATTGCCCCAATCTCATTTGAGTAACTTCACATGGGAGAGCAATCAACTTATTTTCTCAATTCCAATCAAAAAATCTTTTATGAAACAGTTCAGAATTCCTTTTCCATTTTCTGTATCTTCTGTAAGAACATCAGTGACTGGTTCAAAGGTTAAGATTCAGCATGTGTATTTATGTCATCATTCCTCAACCTTACACAAAGTTCAGCCTTTAAAATCCATTACAAGCTCTACTGATGTTTGCTGTAGCAATAATTCACCACCATAATATCTAAGAGCTTTAATAACTCTTCAGGAGATCATGTGGTATTGCCTTCTAGGAAAAAGTTAAAGTCAGAATACTCTCACTGAAATTACTTTTCTTTCAGATTAGCTAATCTACAAGTTATCCTCTTCATAAAATGAACTGAAAGCCTCCTTCTAGAATACTTCAGACAGTACAACAAAATATTTCAGGCTTTTGCAGATGTAACAGGAATAGCTGCTGTACCAGAGCGGAAGCCTACCATCACAACTTGGAATATTTCTTTACTGTAGAGACTACTCGGAGCAGTAGTGAAAGTCAAAGTAAAGTTAATGAAGAGCATATGATAGGAAACAGATGAGTTGATTTAACAGGAGACTTAGGAAATAGAGTATATTAACAGCATGTTTCCAGAGGATAACAAAATTAGATTGGCTACATTCATTGTTGAGTAGCCTTTTGAATCCTTCTGATTTAAACTCTCAAATTTTGCTTTACAGGAAATATTAGCAAAAATTGTACCAGTAATGGATGGTCAGATATTTTTCCTGACATCTTAAGTACTTGTGGATATAATGACTATGAGGATGATTATAAGGTAGGAAGAACATTTTTTCAACTCATTTAAATGCTGATGTTCAAAATAGCTATGAGACATAATGTGCTTCCAAATAATCCTATTTTATTCAATCAGAATTAGTAACAAACTGTAGGCATTTTTGGTAGCATTGCTTGCCACGTGCTTAGATTGCAAATGTCATGTAAGACAAAAACAGAAATATAGAATTTTGTAATTGTTTGAAACATAAGGCTATGATCAGTTGTTAAGTGCAGCAATGCATCCACATTTCTAATACTGACTGAGCTTGTGCACTTGTTTTGCATGGTGTTATTTCCAAATGTTTCTATTATAACAAATCCTAATAATGTAATAAATCTGTTAATAATGTATGCACCATTTGATTGCTGATATGTCTAAGTTATCATGAGTAAAATAGAATTAACATAGGTCATTGGAATTATTGCAGATTTATGTTAGACTTAAAATTGGATTAGCTATTAGAATTGATTCAAAAAGCTATCAAGACATCATAAACATAGTACAAATGGAAAATGAATTTGTTCAGTTTGTAGAAACTATTTCTTGTTCTTTGTTATTTAGAGAAATACTCTTTCCATGATGTTTTGCCTATTTTCTACCAGCTTTTCTACTCACTCTAGCGGCACAAGATTTTGTTTACAAAAAATGGTTTTCAGATCACAGTGTCAGTACTTTTGTTATTGTGAGCACATGAAGTAATCTCGTGGATAAACATTCTTAACCGTTTGGGTTTTCCTGAATTGTATTATATATGTGGAACAGCTCTAGCAGATGTATTCCAGCCTACTGCAGAGATGTGCTAGCTTTCTAGCTAAGACATGGTTCTTGCCATTTCTTTCTGTATTTGAAAGCCCTGCCTGTAGATGAGCATGAGCAATAAAGAATTTTTAGAATATATTACCTTCCTATCCTTTCTGAAGACGCATTTCAAAACATTGGTGCAGTCTGACTCCTTGGGAACAATCCCATGTTACTGCTAAACCAGCCCTTTAAAACACTGTCATCAACCCAGACTTTGTCACAGGGAGTCAAAATAGGTTAAGACTTAAAAAAATCAAATGAGCAAATGACAAAATTTCAGGTAGTGAGATGTACTCAATTAGTAGAAGTAGCAGTAGAAATAGAAAAGCAGATCTCGTTTGAAGTAGCTACTACTAACTTAAAGGAGCAATTTGAAATGCAAGTTGATTGTACTTACAGGAATGAAGCTAGAGAGGCTGGAAATGGGTAGTAGTAGTGACATTTGAACAAGCCTTATAAAGATTAAATAAGAAACAAGGGAAGATAAAAATTAGAAGAGAAGTAGAGAGCAGATATGGGAGAAAATGATTAACAGAAGCACGATTGAGAGAATATTCTAGGCATCTGCCATAGATAGTATACAACATAAATGCATACCATGTTGCAGGGACGGAAAGTGGAAGTGCAAGCACTGATTGTGTTTCAAGCAACATGGCCTGACAGCCACTGTCCACTTTTCTCAAGTGTCACTGTCATTGTTCAGAGGATATTCTTTGCCTGAAGATCATAACTGGTTAATTCAGTGAAACATAACAATAATTCTTCTTTAACCTTAAAACTGACAAGTCAAAAAAAAAGTCCATACAGGAGTGCAGACATATTGGATGGCAAACTGATCCTGTGCGAATAATAAGAATATGCAGTTGTTTTAGGGTTTTTGTTTGGTTTGTGGGTTTTGTTGTAGTTTTTCTTTGTAATTAAGAAAGGATGGAATTATCAGAATGAAATCTGAAAAGGAAAACAGGAAAGGAAGTGTTTAAATGCATCTCTTCATGGGAAAAATTATAGAAAATGCAAATATCACTCAGTATTGAGATTTCAGGAGGCATTTAAATGCCAGCTGTTACACAGAAAGCAGATGATTTCTTGAATTCAAATCTTACCAGTTAGTGGTAGCATCTTAAGCAAAAAGCCGTTCCTCAGTATTAATCAGTATATTTCAACTGTATTTGACCCAGATTTTCAACAAAAAGAGTTAAAAATGAAATCGTAGCTCTTCAAATAACAAAATGTTTTGGACATAAAAATTACATGCGACTATATTTTTCAGGCAACGTATGAGGTTATTCTCAGAGTTAAAGTAAATACAGAAATAATATTTTAGGAAAAGTGACAAAATACTTTTCCTATGGTAAGTCTTAAATGTTTTTCCATACTCTTTCCCTGAAGAAAATGTTTGCAGAAGAGGTAGAAATTGTTACAGATTGATACCTGTATCTTCCGTACTGAATAAATTTCCATTATAGACCCATTTATAAGGTCTATAATGGGTCTGTATTTATAGGTAACCACCTTGAAGAGTAGGACTCTGAACAAACAATTATGTTTTCATCACATCACATCAAATTGTGTATTTCAATCTTTGTTATATACTTCCAATCTCTTTCCTATAAGAAAATTGGTTGCTGCTGACCTTCAAGATCAACTTTCAGATTCATCTTGTTCATTCTAATAAGTATCTTCTTTTTTCTTGTATATTTCCTTTGAGCTTGTGGCACCACAGTGGCAAAATGGGTGACTTGATTTGACCATATGGGAAAAACATGTCAAGGTCTGTTAACCCAGAACAAATTCACTGCAACCTTTTCTTTCATGTCAACAATTCTGACCTTTTAGTTGGACGCACGAGTCCAGATGTCCTCAGAGGGTATCACGCTCTTTATCAGCATTACTAGCACAAGTCAAGCTGCCTCGTGAATGTAAAGGACTGAAATGTGGCCACTTTATTTAAAAAAAAAAAAAAAAAAGATGACTACAAGTCAGCTAATACAGTATTATCTAATCTTAGCTTGAATTGACCTGACATTTATTATATCACAGGCTATATGGTTCAAACACTTCAGTAATACAAAGATAAATTCATGGAGAGGAAAATTCTCAGTGCTATCACACATGATGAAACTGTTGCAGCACGTGCCTATATGGAACATCATCAGTGAAAGGATTATCCGTGGTTTGGCAACTTTCCACAAGCATCCATTCTTAGGTTTCTGCCATAGGTAACACCCTGAGTGAGCTGCCTTGGGTACTTCCCAAAACAGTTGCAGTCAAGGTAGCAAAGTCAGGACTGACTCAGACAAACACTGTCCTGAATGTCTGTAATTGCCTTTAGAAAACAAGTGCATTACTACTGTCTGTGAAGTGGACCATTGCCTTGGACTAATGGATTGTTTGTCCTGAGTCTGAATTGAATGTGTCCCTTTCAAGAAAATGTATTGCATAGTTGCTGTCTGCCAGTGTTTTTCTGTCTGCCTGTGAGTCATGCTATTTTTGTTTACATTACATTCTGCATTTTTCATTACTTTTTCACAATATGTGATTAGAGACCACTATTTCTGAAAGAGAATACAAAATTCTTCTGTCATGCTCAAGTGAGAAGGATGGGGCATGAGTATAAGAGTATAAGCTAATGTACTCTCCTTTGGGAGCACAGTGGGAATTTTTTTTATTTCATATAGATTGTCCACAGATTAAAGTGAACTGAAAGAGAACCATGTTGGAAAAGGGTTTACATTAATCTGTTATTTAAAGATTATTAAATACCAAGGAATACATATTTTATGAGATATATATTTTTGTAAACTCAGTTCTGCGCTGTGCCGTCCAAAAATAGGAAGGAATAAGTGCATTGTCCCCATCATATGATCAATCTCTTTATTCCAGCTTGTATTTAAGGTTTTACAAGACTTCAGAAACAGCTGCCACTTTGTTGAAGTTAATGCTGTAAAAGGAAGGAACTAGGATTTGTATTATATTTCCACCTACATTTGCAAGTATCACTATTTCTAATGCTCTCAGCCAAGTTGCTAGGCCCAAACAACCTTATATTCATTGTGCAGTTTAAAGTTTTCTGATATTCTGATATTCTTTCATATTTTTCTGATATTCTTTCATATTAGTATTCAGTCATTATTCAGTATTCTGAAAAGTGTTCTAAAAATTTAAGAGCTTGTATTTTAACATAATTGTAAATAATCGCATTTGTGAATATGAAATTTACATATAGCATTCCAAAAACATACTGGGCCCTAGAATAAACAAAGCAGTCATTTGTGATGATCATGATCATACTTTAGAAGTAATCAGGTATATCTTTTGGTTAAATAAATAAAGAGCTGTTCATTTTTCTTTTACATGGAGGATAATATCCTGTCAGTAGTGATACTCCTTGAACAAGCACTCAATTCAGTTTTGCTCTTGAGCACAGAATTACCCTCCTACCCCTAGAGGTCCTTCCAAACCGAGGCTGAGGATGAAAGATCCCCTGGGTTACTGTCACCTTTCCTAGGGAGCTTCTGTGCCGTTTCTGCTGTGTAAACAAACAAAAGACTTCAGTCTCTTAAACTTAGTAAAAGAAACATGAAACTACCTGTAGAGAAAATGTTAGCAGAAAAAAGTGTTCTAAGAAAACAAAACTGTACATAGGAATAGATTTTATGAAAAAAATCTCTTGAGCATAACAGTAATTACACAAACTTGTAATCAGATCTCTTCTTCGTATGTGTAATGTCTTCATATCCATGGAATTAGTTAGCCATAAAAAGCGTTAGGTCTTTATAGTCTACAAAAAAGTGTGCAAGTCATCACCCACTGATTTTGTGGTACCCAATCACCAGCTGACTTGGTTATTGGTTGCAATTTGAATACTTGCCTTAAAAGATTAAAAATAAATTGTTGAATTTCTTCCAAAATTGTTGAATTTTGGAATCAGTATTTCTCAGACAGCCACGTGAGTATTTTGCAAGGCCACATATTTTACTCCTGTGGCAAAAATACTAGCAGAAATTTTCAAGTCATTTCAGTTTCAAAATATCATTTTAACTTCACATGCATGGCTTGAATCAACTTATACTTTGAAAACAGTTACAAAATCTAAGCTTTGATATTTTCTCTTTATGAAAATCTTTCAAAACCCTGCGTGCAGTTTAGTTCTAAATCCTGTTTTGGAGTCTCCATACCTTGTTTACACTTCTGTT